AAGGAGCTCAAGGAGCAATTACAAGATTTGCTTGACAAAGGGTTCATTAGGCTTAGCGTGTCACCTTGGGGTGCACCGGTGTTGTTTGTAAGGAAGAAGGATGGGTCTTTACGCCTATGTATTGATTATAGGCGAGTTAAATAAGGTCACAATCCGCAATAAGTATCCGTTACCTAGAATTGATGATCCGTTTGACCGATTGCAAGGGTCTCGATTCTTTTCCAAAATAGACTTGAGATCGGGATATCATCAATTGTGTATAAGGAAGGAGGATATCCCAAAAACAACATTCGAAGTAGATATGGATACTATGAATTCCTTGTGATGTCTTTTGGACTCACTAATGCTCCTGCGAGCATTTATGGATCTCATGAACCGAGTATTCGGGTCATTCCTTGACGACTTTGTGATAGTGTTCATAGATGATATTTTGGTTTATTCCAAGAGTAAGGAAGAGCATGAGCAACACCTACGAATGGTACTTCGGACCTTGAGAGAGCATCGGTTGTATGCCAAATTCTCAAAATGTGAATTTTGGCTAGATAGTGTTGGTTTTCTAGGATATGTAGTGTCGAAGGATGGGATAGAAGTGGACCCAAAGAAAGTTGAGGTTGTTATTCATCGGCAAGGCCAACATCTCGCTACGAAATTCATAGTTTTCTCGTTTAGTCGGATATTATAGGCGTTTTGTGGAGAACTTCTCATGGATAGCTGCTTCGTTGACAAAGTTGACTCAAAAGAAAGCGAAGTTTGAGTGGACGGATGCATGTGAGCAAAGCTTTCAAGAGCTCGAGACTCGTTTAACTACAACTCCGGTGTTAGCACTACCATCGGGTTACGGTGAGTATGTGGTTTATTGTGATACATTAAGAATTGGATTAGGGTGTGTGCTAATGCAACATGGGAGAGTTATTGCCTATGCTTCTCGTCAATTAAAGAAGCATGAGCGGAATTATCCTACTCATGATTTGGAGATGGCGACGAATTGTCTTCGCCTTGAAGATATGGCGACATTATTTATATGGAGAGACTTGTGAGATTTACACGGATCACAAGAGTTTAAAGTATATTTTCGAGCGAGAGGGACTTAAATTTGAGGCAAAGACGGTGGATGGAGTTGCTAAAAGACTATGATTGTTCTATATTGTATCATCCAAGAAAAGCAAATTTGGTAGCGGATGCATTGAGTAGAAAGTCAATTGCGAGTTTAGCCCGTATAGCGATCGAGAGGAGGCCATTGATCCAAGAATTATATGAGTTACATGATCGGGGATTCAATTGGAGATTAATGATAGTGGAATGTTGTTAGCTAACATGAATATACGACCGGTGCTCCTAGATCGGATCAAAGCAAATCAGAGCTAAGGATGAGCAATTAGAAAAGATTAGAGATGGAGTTGTTAAAGGTGACAGGGAAGGAGTTTAGGGTGGATAATAATGGTGTACTCCGACTTGGTGTTAGGCTATGTGTTCTCGATGTGGAGGATTTGAGGAGAGAGATTATGAAAGAAGCACACCGATCCGCATACACGGTATATCCTGGTTCAACTAAGATGTATTAAGATTTGAAAGGAGTGTATTGGTGGAGTGGAATGAAGAGAGACATTGCAAATTTTGTGTCTAAATGTCTAGTGTGCCAACAAGTGAAGTTTGAGCACCACAAGCCTTCGGGATTACTTCGGGAGTTGCCTTTACCGGAATAGAAGTGGGAAAGGGTAACAATGGATTTTGTGATAGGGTTGCCTCGTACTCGCTAAGGGTTATGACTCAATATGGGTGATTGTGGATAGGTTGACGAAGTCGGCCCACTTTATTCCAGTGAAGACTACTTACACGGTAGCTCGGTATGCTCAACTATATATTGATAAAATAGTGAGCCTTTATGGAGTACCTATATCTATAGTGTCGGATAGGGGCACACAATTTACATCACGAGTTTTGGAGGAAACTTCGAGAGGTATTGGGTACTCGACTTGACTTTAGTATCGCTTTGCATCCGCGGACGGATGGTCGGTCGGAGCGTACAATCCGGACACTAGAAGACATGTTGAGAGCATATGTTATGGATTTCGGGGATAATTGGGAGCATCATTTGCCTTTGATTGAGTTTGCTTATAATAATAGTTATCGAGTCTAGCATTGAAATGGCTCTATATGAGGCTTTATACGAAAGAAGATGTAGGTCTCTTGTCTATTGGGAAGAAGTAGGGGATAGAAAGGCTGGTGGGTCCAGAAATGGTACGAGTTGACTACGGAGAAGGTAGCATTGATCGGGGAACGTCTTAGGACAGCTCACGGTAGGCAAAAGAATTATGCGGATTCAAAGAAAAAACATCTTGAATTCGATGTTGGTGATCATGTATTTCTTAAGGTGTCATCAATGAGGGGGATCATGCGGTTTGGGAAGAAAAGAAAGTCTGTCTCCTAGATACATTGGACCATTTGAAATATTGGAGAGAGTGGGAGCGAGTGGCTTATGGATTGGCTCTTCCACCGGACTTTTCGGGAGTCCACCCGGTATTTCATGTATCTATGTTGAGAAAGTATGTGGCGGATCCTTCACATGTAATTGAACCGCAAACTATTGAGCTAAGTGAGGATTTAAGTTATGTGGAGTAACCAATTGCAATTGTGGATCGTCGAGTTAGAAAACTTAGGTCTAAAGAGATCATTTTAGTTAAGGTTCAATGGAGAAATCATTCTCGTTAAGGAGGGCACATGGGAATCGAAGCCGAAATGCGAGACAAGTATCCACATTTATTTCGCATTCAAAGTATGTAGTCATTTTTAAATTCGAGGACGAATTTTGTTTTTAAAGGGAGAGAATGTAATACCCATAAAACCAAGAGTGACTTAATTGGGGTTTTTTTAAATGAGGGGCATTAGGGTAATTTAAAAGCAAAGAAAAGAAAGAAACAAAGAGGGAAGATTGGCGGAAACCAAAGGAAAGAAAAAAAAATGAGAAAGGAGGGGAGAGAAAGAAAAAGAAGAAAGGAAAGAGAGGAGAAGGAAGGAGAGGAAGAAGAAGACTCACCGGTGACCACCCACTCCGACGACGGCTCCGACGACGGCGAGTGGTGGAGTGACTCGGGTAAGGAGAAGAAAAATGAGGGTAAAAAGAGGTGAAATAAGGAAGAAGGAAAAAGATTTATTAAGTGAGTTTTTGGATTTTTTTGAATGTTTTAGTTAATTATAACCTTAATTAGGATGGGTTATAGGTAATTTAGTAAATTTCATCTTGAATAAAGAATTTGAATTAGGGATTAAGTTTAATTAAAATTAGGGTTTATGTTAGCTTAGGAAAATTTGAGAAAAATGAGTGAATGGGTTAATTAGGGCCCAATTAAGCTTGAATTTCAATTTATTAGTGTCTAATTATTGTTATTATTGATGAATGCAAATTTATGATGATAGAGGTAAGAGAGGATTTGGTGGAAGAAGTCGCTTAAGAAAGAGACAATTATAATTTGGGGTGTTCCTCTAGATTAGAGGTAAGTATAGCACATATTATGAGTTTTTATTATCATATATGAATATATTGCTTGTGAAGTGAAAAAAATAATAATTGTATGGATAAATAATTCATTAGTACAAATAATTATATATGAATTGAATTGGTATGTTGCCGTATGAATTATGATGATTAAAGATAATAGTGTTGCATTGAATGGTATATGTGCATGTTGATATGATGATCACTTGCATTAAATGGAATTATGTGATTGCTATGTACTGAATGAGAATAATGAGATTTATGACTTAAAAGAAGTCTATGCGGGACTAACTAAGCTAACGGGGTTATAGTTAGCCTAGGTGCACGTAGTATTGCCGGCTAGGGAATGGCCGCAATGCTTCCCTCGAGTTTACCCTGCGGGGGCTAGAGTTTACGAGTTACCCTTGCGAGGGCCATAATTACCCTTTTGAGGGCCAAAGGAATAGACGGTTCCGCATAGAGTGATTTTAAGAAAAATTTTTTATGCTATTATTAATTGTTAAGAAAGAAAGAAAAAGAAAAAGTTATTGATTGCTTGCTTGTTTGCAAATCATGTATGATAGGTGCATTGATATAATTGTATGTATAGCGATTTATAATATGTGTTATGCTTATCGAGTTTTGAAAACTCACCCCCCAAACCTTAAATATTTTGTAGATAATATAGAAGCTAGATCATAGAAGGAGGACGATAGATTTTCCGGATTTGAAGATACTACCCGGATATTATTTTGCTTCCTCCGGATATAGGACATGGTTGTTTTAAATTTGTATTCATTGTCTATTTTGGAATTGTAATTAGTCATTGTGTATTTTATTTCACTTAGTTGCTCCGTTGGTAGCATCACCAAATCCAGGGATAGCTAGTTAAGGGTCTCCATATTTTGTATTTGGATGGTTAAATGATGATTTATAAATTTGGTTATGTTAAATATTGGATTATGTGTATTTTTGTCAATTTAGTAAATACTGAGATTTATGAGGAAGTGTAGATGTCCAATGGAGGGACTTGAGGATGATTGAGAATTGGTGAAGATGATTTGGAAGTGTACATCTATTGTGATTTTCATGCGGGACATTATTTTTGGGATCGTCCAATTATAGGGGAAATGCTGCCGAAATTTCTATCGGAAATAGAGAAAGGATTAAGGCTTACGTAGCCTGTGGTGGGTCACCCTACCCCGGGCTACGTGCCGGTCGTGGCTCGCCGGTTCGGGTCGTGACAACAAATCACAACATAACTATCCTTGAACTAGCCATTGCAAAGCAAAATATAGGACAACTAAATGAATAATTTGAGAGTCCTTGGCCTGTACAATCAAGAAAAAGAAAAGCAGGACATAACCATCCACAATCGAAGGCTCGTATCAAAGTGCATTGATGTAGAAGACATTTAACACTTTATAGACCAACAAAAATTTTATTTTTGACAGATAAAATTTTGTAACAACTTGAGATGCGATCTGCATTATAAAGCAAAACCTTTTAATCCATCCATTTCTAGGCACTAGAAATCAGGCTTTCCATAGAAGTGATTGACATTAATCCCTACATTATTCAACACAGAATGCAGAATCATAAGGCAAGCAAGCAAGAAGGTAATAAACCACTTGCTGCCTCAAATACAAAGGGAAACAGATTTAAAGACAACCATCCGACTGACACAAATCTTTCCATGGTCATTTGGAAAGAAAACTAACAGCAATATTTCGTATGAGGTTAGTTGAGGTTCTTATGGCTTCCACAGGATGGTGGTTTCTGCAATCATGGAAGTCACAACATATGGATCCATGTTTGAAGCAGGCCTTCTGTCCTCAAAATACCCTTTTCCTTCTTTCTCTGTGTCGCGGCCGACACGAATAGAAGCCCCCGATTCACAACGCCCTGTCAATCGGACAAGATGTAAAGAAACTAATGTCAGACATCTTATAATAAGAAACTAATCAGCAAAGGAATTGTTTGTTTTTCCTCTTACCCATTTGAAAGTATTAATGTCAGCTGTTTCGTGTCTTCCTGTGAGTCTCCGCTCATTTCCTTCTCCATAGGCTGCAATGTGTTCTTTATGCCTCACACCAAGCTTTTCAATTGCTTTCTTGATGATTTCATAACCTCCTTCATTTCTCATAGACTTATTACTGAAAATGTGAAGAATTTTCAAGTATGAGACCAAGAATATTAAGAGTTTGAAACAAAGAAGCAGATAAATTAAGCTTCAAAATTGTACCTGTAATTTGTGTGCGCCCCAGCTCCATTCCAATCTCCCTGGCAAAACAGAAGTCCAATTTTTTGAGAGCTCAATCGATAAAAGCTACTGAAAAAGATAAAGGGTGCGTAATAAAACAAAAAGTAACCTGAATTGGCTTAGGATAAAATGAAAGCACAACGCCAGCAACCTCAGTAATCCTCTGTTAACATAAACATAGACATTTGAGAAAACTATATAAATTGGAATACCAGTACTGTCTTCTTTAGTCAAGTTCATAAAAACTACCTCCAAAATGTACCGAGCAGCCCATAATTCATCTCCGGAAGAGATACCGACTGTAGGTCCAACTTGGAATTCCCACTGCAAGAGAAAATGAAAATGGTTCAATGTTTCGAAACAGAACAAGAGCACGAAGGATCTAAATTAGATCTGTAATATCAAAATAGCAGAAGGGGAATGTTAGTTCTTTAATTTGACCTGGCCTGGCATCACTTCTCCGTTGATTCCACTAATGTTGATGCCTGCATACAAGCAAGCCTTGTAATGTGAATCAACAATGTCACGGCCAAAGGCTTTGTCAACACCAACACCACAGTAGTATGGTCCCTGAGGGCCAGGATAGCCACCAAGAGGCCATTTAACATCTTTCTGCAACAAGGTGTATTCTTGCTCAAGTCCAAACCTGTTTTTTTTATCAGATTCACATCCTTATCTTTCTAGCCATAGGCAACGCGCTAGAAATTTCTTGTTCGTTCAAATAAAATCTGGGCAGTAAAAGAGATCACCCCTAGCATTTTGGCAGGTCCTCTTGGCAGTAGTGCAGGTGAACCATGCATGTCAGGTTATTACATGGGTTTTGAGTTTGAAATGCCGCATAATATCTTTCTGGATCGATCGACATCACTGGTATCCTGGATCCAACACCCAAGTGAGAATAAGCTTTCAAGAGACAAAGCATCCACCAAATTAAGGATATGCAAGCAGCATGAACTGGTTTCCTGTGTACATATTCAGAGTTACAACTATAAACTTAGCAAGCAAAATGTGATTAAACTCAAAATCAATGGAGGCAACATCAGTGAACAACGATAAAGAAAAAATAGATAGATGTTTGCGCATATATAGAAGAACTTACCATTTCCATGGTGCATATGAACAGAGGTTGGCATCTCAACCATTCCATCAAATTGCGTACTTCCAGATTTCAGTTTGATGATGAGGCCATGACATGAAACCTTGGCATTGGCAGCTCCATGCCCTTGTTCATCCAAGGAGGATGCCATACATTTCCTCCAGGTAACAGGAAAGCACCTATCAACTCCAAAAGGAGGCCTACAAGAAGACAAGTGAGATTACTGCAAGTTCCTGCTGGATAATGTATCATTATACTGTAGAACTCTGCACTGCTCATCAACCGGTAAAGAAAAATGCTCTTGGAATGGTGGATCCATCATCCATGAGAATGGATGCGGTGACCCATCAAGGCAGCATCAAGAATATTAATTCTGAGAAAACATAATAACAATCTTAAGATACAAATTACTAGCAACTTACCTGACAGAAACACTTAGGCGATCAGATGGCAATGACAAAGTAGATCGTCGAGGAGATAAATTTGCACCAGAATTGGAATATCCAAGCTACACCAAAGCAACATCATATGATTAGAAGACAAATAGTTCGAATAAAATACTTGAAGGTGCATATTCTGGCATTAAAATTTACGGAAGCGAAGAGGGAAAAAAACAAAAAGGAAGAAGAAGAATGCCACAATTTCACCAAAAGAAAGTACAACGGAAGAAAATTACCATGACTAAGCAAAGAAAGAAGAAGCATGTATCAATAATTTCAGCAAAAGAAAAGAATACGGGGAAGAAAATTACAGTGAAATTTTTACACCCAAAAAGCCCAATTGCTATTATCGCTCATACCACATTTTACTTTTTATCTGAATATTAGGGATGTGAGCTATCTTAGGCCAGTCCTCTCCTCTCTCTTTCTCACACCTTCTCTCTAGATTTTGACATTTTATGATTTCTAACTCTCTAAGCATATTGAGACTCTGAACCCCATCCCGCAAAGACATCAAATTAGGGCAATCCCAAATCTCTAAGCGTGAAAGAGACGTGAGATGTCCAATCTGATCTGGCAGAGAAGATAATCCCCTGCAATTCCATATTCTTAGAGATTGTAGAGAAGTTAGATGTTTGATACTCTCTGGCAATGAATTCAGCTTCGGACATCCATTAAGAAGCAAATCCTCTAGTGCCGTCAGATATTGCACTCCCTCGGATAGAGACTCAAATCCATCGCAATTTTGAACCCCTAAGCCACGAAGAGAAGATAAGCCACGCAACCCATTCATTGGCAAGCTTCCAAGTTCAGAACAATCGTCCATATCCAAGCTTTTAAGAGCAGAAAGGTTATCTAATATCTGATTTGACAAGGATTGCAGATTTTTCATATCAGAAATTCGTAATTCCTCAAGGAGTGTGTGGTTTTGCAACAATCCATTAGGAAGAAGCATCAAATTGGGAATTGAGATAATATCAAGGGAGGTGAGAGAAGTCAAATTCTTAACAGACATCGGCAATGTAACATTGCATCCCTCGATTCGTAATGTTTTCAAGGAGGGTGTAATTGGTATTTCGATCAACATAGGGCAATCATCTACATACAATTCTCGAAGGCGAGGAAAACTCTCTCCCCCAGGAACTGGATGTGCCCATTGCTCTAAGCTCTTCATTGAATAAAGATGCAGAGTCTCCAAACATGGAAATGAATTTTCCTCGTATGAGAGATCTCCATACACATCGCTGCCAATGCACTTCACGCCATCCATTCCATGTAATTCAAGACGCTTAAGGAACTGTAGCTTCCCAAATGGTGGAAGTTGTCCACAATTGCCACACCATTCCAGCAAGATCTCCACTAGGTTGGGTAGCGTTAAGTTCACGCTCATCGTCCAATTTGGAAAATTTGAACCTCCATATCCATATATCCTTAACTTCTTCAGATTTGAATGGGGTTGAAGGCCAGCAAGAACCTCCTCAATGTTTTCCTCCACAACACTTCCTTCCAGGACCTTACCACTGTATGTTTCTGCATCCTCGTGGCTAATAAGATAAACTCCATTCCGATGCCAAGATAAAGTCAGCGATTGAAGATCCGGCTTCCCTGTCAAATTGGCACTTTTGGCATCTGTTAAACTTTTAACATTACCAAGATCTGTAATGCTTAGTTCACTGCAAACACAATTCAGACCTTCCAGCTCCCCTATGTGATGACCATCCCCCTCACCCACAATGAACAGGCTAAGCTTTCGCAGGCGGGTCAATTGTCCCATTCCAGCAGGCATGCAACTGAGTGAAATGCAACCTCTGATGTCAAGATAGACGAGATTTTTCATGTGCTTCATACCTTTTGGTAGTTGGATGAGCTGAGTAGCACCTCTCAGGTGTAGTGTTTGAAGGTTTTGGAGAGAGGTTAGTGATTCAGGCAGTGATTCGATGATGGAACGGGAGACATCTAGAAACCTTAGATGTTTCAACTTACAAATTGAATGTGGTAATTTGTCAAAAGAGAAACTAGAGATATCCAAGGCTTTTAGATACTTTTGTCTAGAGTAGTAGAGATCAAAGTCATCACTCCAAGGGGATGTCCCCGGGGGATTAAGAAACAAAAATGAGTGCAATCGCCGAGCTTGAAGAACCTTCTCGCTGAGAGTGGAATGAGATGTCCCATCAACAGCTAGATGACAAATTGTTTCAGAAATTTCCGTCTCTGTATTGCCCGCAATGAAACAACATTCATGTCTCATAATAGATTGCGCAAGATCATGAATAAGATCATGCATTTTGCATGTTATGTTGCCCAGTCCGTTATCCTTCACTTCTTGAAAAAATGATCTCCCAAATAATTCATAAAAAATCTCATGGCCTTTGTCATGCAAATCCATTCGCCCTTTGCAAGAAATGAAGCCATTTGCCATCCATAGAGCTACCAACCGATCCTTCTCCATAACATGGTCTTTGGGGAATATAGAGCAAAATGCAAAACATTGCTTCAAATGTGGCTTTAGGTTCTGATAACTCAAACGCAACACAGCCAAAATCTTGTCTTCATCTGGCAGATCCCAAATTTCACTTTCTTTGACAGATGACCACTCACTTTTAGTTTTCTTCGAGCTCATTAGGCTTCCAAGTACCCTTATAGCCAAGGGAACCCCGCCACACTTCTTCACTATCTCCATTCCAATCTTTTCCAAGTGTGCATACTCCTCTTTCTTTCTCTTCCCAAATGCAAGCTGCTTGAATAAAAGCCAGGAATTATCATCTGATAATGCTTCCATGTGTTGAACAGGAGTTGTGGCCATGTTATCAGCAACAGTCCTCAAACGAGTAGTTACCACAACACTTCCTTTAGCTCTGCAACTGATCAATACATCCTTCAATCTATTACAGTTATCAAGGCCATCATCCCACACATCATCCAGTACAAGCAAAAACTTTTTACCCCTTAGCTTTTCTTGGAGGCACCGTTGAAGGGTGTCCAACTCTTGAATGTTAGGAGAATTGCCTTCAATAGCCTCAATGATGGCTTTTGTTAATCTCCTTATGTCAAAATCAACAGATACACATATCCAAATCCTCAAACTAAAATGCCATTCTATACTTCCATCATTGTAGACTGATTGAGCAAGTGTTGTTTTTCCAAGTCCCCCCATTCCACATATAGCGTGAATAGAGAAATCATCTGAATTGGTGAGCAGCATGTTGATCAGCTCTTCTTTCTCCTTGCCTCTTCCACAAATTTCTGATTCATTCACGAACGAGCTGGTAAGTCGCCAATTTTCATAGCTATCTTGCTCTACATGCCCAACTCCCTCATTTAGGCCGAGCTCAGTCCTCTCCTTGGCAATGGCATCTAATTTTCCTCTCACATCCTTCAATTTATGTTCCATTTCTGCCTGAAATCGAAGTGGATTACGATCATGAGAGAAGAAGGATCTTACTCGGTTCTTCAGATCTCTCTGTTGCTGACGCCTTAGAGCTTCAAGTGCGAACTCATCAAGTACATCTTGTACATCATAAGCAGCATCCTTGAGCTTTCTGAGCCAATCCTTCACAGCCTTACTCTTCCATTGCTTCTCCTCTGCATCATAGAGCACAGCTTGAATCGCTGAGAAAGTGCTCTTGAGATTGGCAACCTTGGTCTTTACGACCTTGGTTTTTACGCCTGAAACAGTTCCAAGCTCTTGGAGCACTAGTGAATTCAAGTTCTCCACTATTGTACTCACAAGAGCAGAAACAATTCCTTCAGCCATAGCCTGTTTTCCAAAGGAAAAACGGGATCTTTGTAAGAGAAATTGGAAAAGCAGAAGGGGGAACTAAATGTTTGGATGTAAGCAAGAAATGGTATTGAAAACACAGGGCAAGGCAGTTTAGGAGATGACAGGTGGAAAAGACAGTGTGTGGGAATAGGCTTTACCTTTGCTATTGAGTACTATTCCTTTAGATTCCACAAATTCCACTATTAACCAAGTCAGCTCCACTTAATCAATATTTTCTTTGAAGATAAAATATCTATACTTGAACGATATGTGGCGAGGCTAGAAGTTTCTGCACTGGCTTTTTCTATGAGGACTTTTGACAAATACATAGATTTTATGCAATTTTTCACTGAAACTGAAAAGGAAAATAAAATAAATGTTTTAATTGAAAATGGTTATGGAGATGAGAAATGCAATTTCTCACTCTTCTGTCTTGAACTTTAAGCAAAGAACATTAATCATCCAATCAAAGAACATAATGTGACTTTGCGATGCAAAACGAATTTGTTCCTTCATTCATTTGCACTACAAAGGTTACAAGAATTTGTTCTTGGTCCATTCTATTGAAAATTCTCGCTGTAAAACATATGAAGTTTCACAAGGAAAAACATTCCTATCTTCTGATCTTTTCCTTCAAATAATGACTCTGCAATGCTGAAGAAAAATTTACTTTGCTGAAAACAAGGCAATTTACCATTAATTTTATTATTATTATTATTATTTTGGAGTCTTCAAAAAGAAAACCAAAGGAGGATAAATTTATAATTTTTTGATTTTTTTTTCTCGGTTTCTACTTTTTAAGTTAAAGAAAAAAACGCTTGTTTTATTATTTTAGTTTTCAAGAAACTTATTTTTTGAAATATATAAATATATTATGAATACAAATTCGTCTATTTGCTAAAAGAGTATGAATTGGCAATAAAAAGCAAGCGCAATTATGAAGATAAGAAATGCCAAAGACAATGTTTAGTAGGTTGGCTTTTGTTTTGCTATTCAACACTCCTTTTTTGCCTTATTGAATTCCAATATCAGCTTTACTAACTCTTCCTTTTTCTTTTTCTTTTTCTTTTTCTTTTTTTCCCCACAACCAAAAGAAACACTATCTTCAGATGCTACGATTAGACAATATTTAGTAGGTTGGCTTTTTCTTTTGCTATTAATTCAGCACTCCTTTTCTGCTTTATTAGATTCCAAGATCAACTTTGCTAACTCTTTCTATTTCTTTTTTACCATACGAGCAACATTATCTTCATATGATGCGTTATATAATGTATTTGGATATGTCCGCTAATGTTATACACCATTATAAAAAAAGTATAATAACATTTCACACAAATAACAATAATGTATGTTTTTATTATTATACAATGATGTTATTGGTCGTTATTAATTGAATGTCGAGTCATTATATTAAAAAATATATATATTTATATCTTATTATTATTTATGTGATATTAAACTATTATTAATTTTTTTATA